TATTTAGATTCAGATTAATTACCTACCTTGATGAAATAAAGTTAATATAATCATCAAACTCCAGAAATCTTTAAAGTTTAGAATTACTACTTTGAAGTTGATATTTTCTGTTTAGGGGTTATCCACTAAAACAGTATATCATAATTTTTTAAAAAGATTTATAACATAATAAATGCAGCATTATTAAGCATGTAAAAATATTATCTTCTAAAATTCATCATTAAAAGAAAAAAAATAGTTAAAAAAGTAATTCGATTTATTTAGCACTTTTTTTAAACCAATACAATATGAAGTGTAAATTTTTTATAACATCAAAGGGTACTGATCATTAAATGAGTCTATAATATTTAAAATTTTTGAGTTTAAATAATTGAGCGTTCTAAAATAATCTAAGTAAAAGATTTCAAATTTTTAGAAAACTTATACAAAATAAAGCATTTTGATAACAAGATTGCTTGGATTTCGGAAAAGCTTTTGCAGTTGAATATGCTAAAATTAAGTAAGTTAATCCTTTTAGAAATGCAGACTGATTTTTTTAGATTTACTTGAAAATATTAAAAAAGAAAAGGAAACCAAGCACAATATCATATGCTATCTCATTGATTTATAATCAAAAAAAGCTATTACTTTCAAAATAGCATATCTTAAATTATTCTGAATTTTTATGATAAGGTAATTCAAAGTCACAATTTTTATAAATAATGCTGGATCTAGAATTTTTAATTATTGAAAAAGAATCAATGTAAGATGTCGTTTAAACATATACAATTAATAGCTCAGTTACTTATGAATTCAATAGGGATAGCATGAAAAATGTTATTAATATTAGATTAGCTGCCTCTATCCTTAAGGAATAAAGGTAAATATTTATCCATTTAGTATACTTACATTATGGATAATTCAGAAATAATGGAGTTGAAATATTAAAATAGATTGTTTGAACACAACTTTCGTTTGCCTATGGAAAAACAGGATAGTAATAATCTTGATTATTATAGATATAAAGATTGAAGAAAAAAATTGATTATTTTTACTTATGATAACTCATGAAAATGTTGCATAGTGTATTTTAAAAGCAACAGAAAAGGGAAATGAAATTATTTGTATATAATAGTATTA